TGGATGATGGATGGATGGATGATGGATGGATGGATGAACGGATGATGGATGATGGATGGATGGATGATGGATGGATGGATGGATGATGGATGGATGGATGATGGATGGATGGATGGATGGATGGATGGATGATGGATGGATGGATGGATGGATGATGGATGGATGGATGGATGATGGATGGATGGATGGATGATGGATGATGGATGGATGGATGATGGATGGATGGATGGATGGAGGGATGATGGATGGATGGATGGATGGATGGATGGATGGATGGATGGATGGATGCAAACTGGGATCCCGTGTGCCAGGAGCTGCTGGGAGCAGTCCCGAGCCAGGAATTGTCCAGGCCAGCTCCTCTGCTCAGCAGCTGCTGGGAAGATCCCGCTCGCTCCCTAAATCTGGGTGCCGAATTTGGGGATCTGTGACCAGTGTCCCGAGGAGAACAAGGACTGGACACAAGGTGGTGCCAAGGTCGCTCCTGCCCCTCATCCTGACCTCGGTTTCCCCACAGGTTTTGCCATTCCTGGAGGGAAGGAATTCCATCGGTGGTGGGAGCTGCTGGAATCATCTCAGCGCTGAGGACACCGGGCCGTGCCCAGGGCTGGCACTCATCCCCTCGGCCAGGGAGCGGCTCCCGAGGCAGGATTTGTCCCTGGATGTCTCCTCTGCACCGGGACCCCGAGCCCTGAGCCTCGGCTGGGATTTGGACGCTCCCTCCCGTCTGCAGCTGGGAACGGCACGGCCGGGAGGCTGCAGGCACCTGCTCCTCCCAAATCCCGCGGATTTACTGCTTCTGGCACCTTCCTGCTGGGAATGGCTCCGTCCCAGGGAATCTCCCGAGGGACAGATGTGGGAAAGCAGCACTTAGAGGTTACAATTCCTTCTTTTTCTGCGCTGCTCCTGAATCCCGGCTCTGGAGGAGGAAGGATCCCATGCACTCCTGGAGGACAAATCCTGCTGCTCCGAGGTGAGTCAAGAAAATGTATTTTTCCTTTATTTTTTTTCCTTAAAAGCACCTTGGACTTCTTGGAAAATGATATTTTCCCTGTCTTGAGAAAAAAAATGCCCAATGCAGGGAGCTGCTGTGAGGGGATGAGGGAACAGACAGGTTTGTTCTGACAGCTGGGCTGGCTGCTTTAATCAAATTAATTTAATCAAATCAAATCGAATCAAAATCAAATCAATTTCATCAAAATGAATTTTTCAGTGCCGTCCCAGCTTGAAATCCCCAACAGGAGTTTTCTTCCTGGAGTTTTATTGCTGAGTAATGGATAAAAGGTTAAAGGCTACAGATTCCAGGGAGGTTTTCCTTTCTTTCCCTCAGGAGGGGAATCCTGATGGTTTTCCACTCTCCTGAGCCAGAGGTGGCTGCAGGGGGAGCCTTGTCAGGGGCACTGGGGACATCCTGAGGGGCTCCTGGTGGCTCCAGGGGAGGAGCTGAAAGGCTCCCTCCAGCCTGTGAACCTCCTTGGGATGGAGAATCCCAAATTTCCTGCTAGAAAACGATGCCAGATTTGGGATTTTGAGGGGACTTTGTCATCTGACACGGGACAAGAGGGTGACACGGGACAAGAGGAGCTGCTGGGAACAGCAGGGGATTGGGGCTGTGTGGCCTGCGAGGAGGAGGAGGAGGAGGATGGAATGGGATGTCTTGGGTGGGGAATGAGCTGCTGCTGACCACAGATCCAGGAGGGTCTGGTGCTTCCCAGAGGGGGCAGAGGCAGAGCTGGAGCTCGGAGTGGCTGGATCAGCTCTTGATTTCAGTCCTGCACCTGTTGGAATGGAGCAGGGGAGCTTCATTTTCCTCTCTGCCAGTTCTGAGTGGTGCTGGTGCAGCCCAGATGCTTCCCAATCCCTTGGGATTGTGGTTTTGATGATCCCATGGATTGTGGTTTTCCCCTTTGTGATCCCAGGGACTGCGTTTTTCCCTTGATGATCCCACAAATGGACCTCATCCCTTTCCAACAGGAGTCTCCCTGTGCTCCCCTGCCTCTGGAACTCAGGGAGGAGGAGGAAGAGGGATGAGATTTGTGCCCATGACCTCTCTGTAGTTCCACATTTTCCAGTCGAGCTTCTTGGGCTGAGTTTTCCTTCTGGGAAGCAGCCCCTGTGATGTGGGGCCGGGCTGATTTTGGGGTTTGCTTTGGGTTTTTTGTGTTTCCCCGTTTTTCTCAGGGATGTCCTGTGGTTTCTGGGCGTGAGGTGCAGATCTTGGTGGCTGAGTCCTGTCCCGGTGCTGAGCTTCTTCCTGGAATGGTTTGGATTTGGAATCTTAGAGTTGATCTCATCCCAACCCTGCCGTGATCAGGGACACAGAGAGCAGGTTCCTGTCCGAGCTGGCCCTGCAGTCCTGCGGGGAGGGTGGATCCAGCTGCAGATCCTCACCTGGAGCTGCAGGCCGGCTTTATCAGGATCCCTTCCAATCCCTTTCCAAACCCTGGCTGTGAAATCTTCCTTGTCAAGGGCACTTCGTCAGCGGCAGCTCCTCGGGGCTGCCCCAGGCGCTCCAGAGCAGGAGCTGGCCCCGAGGGAAGCTCCAGGGAAGCCCGGGGCTGCTGCGGGCACCTGAGATTTGGCCTCAGGGGAACCCATGTGCAAAAAAATTTAGGGACTCAGCCCCTGCGGCATCCCATGGGATGGCAGAATCATCCCGGCTGGAAAAGCCCTCAAAGGCTGGGGAGTCCGGCCATTCCCACAGCGCTGCGGATCCTCCGCCACCGCCCATCCCCAGGGGATTCCCTTGGGAAGGGCAATTTCCCATGGATCGGGAGCCGCCGGGGGTCGGGAGCACATCCCAGGATCGAGATGCCGGATCCCGGTGAGGGAGGCTTGGGAGCACATCCCGGGTGGGAGATTCCAGAGGGATTCCAGAGGGATTCCAGAGGGATTCCAGCGGGATTCCAGAGGGATTCCAAAGGGATTCCAGTGGGATTCCAGAGGGATTCCAGAGAGATTCCAGAGGGATTCCAGAGGGATTCCAGAGAGATTCCAGAGAGATTCCAGAGGGATTCCAGCGGGATTCCAGAGAGATTCCAGCGGGATTCCAGCGAGATTCCAGAGGGATTCCAGAGAGATTCCAGAGGGATTCCAGAGGGATTCCAGAGGGATTCCAGCGGGCTCGCGCTGACCCCTGGCGGCTGCAGCAGCAGCGCCTGCAGTGCCCGGCGGGGCCCGCAGGGGGCGCGCGGGGGCCCGGGATTCTCTGGGATTCTCTGGGATGGGATGGGATGGGATGGGATGGGATCTTAACGCTCATCCCGTGCCACTCCTGCCATCAGCAGGGCCACCTCTATCCCAGCGTACTCCAAGCCCCTTCCAAGCTGGCCTGGGACACTTCCAGGGATGGGGCAGACAAGAATTCCTTCCCAATATCCCATCTCTCCCTGCCCTCGGGCAGTGCGAGGCCATTCCCTGTGTCCTGTCGCTCCATCCCTTCTCCAAATCCCCTCGTCAGCTCCTCTGGAGCTTTTTCAGGCACTGGAAGGAGGGTTTTAAACTTTCCCTGGAGGTTGAACATTCCCAGCTTTCCCAGCCTGGCTCCAGAACAGCTCTTTGAGCTGAAAAAGCTGGAAAAAGCTGGAAAAAGCTGGAGCTCTTTGAGCTGAAAAAGCTGGAAAAAGCTGGAAAAAGCTGGAAAAAGCTGGAAAAACCCATGGAGAGACTAAGCTCTTTGGGAGAAGCAGTTAAACACGGCAGGGCTGCTCCAGCCCGGCTGGGATATCGGGGTAAAGCCCACCCGGGAGCGGTTCGCTGTGTCGGAGGTGGCACGGGAGGTGACAGCGGCTCCCAGAGAACCCACGGGAGCTGCTGGAGCCGCGTCCCGCGGCCGCTGGATGGCAGCGGAGCTCCGCGGCATTCCCGTTCCGAGCCATTCCCGTTCCGAGCCATTCCCTTTCCAAGGCATTCTCTCTCCCGGTGCTGCCTCCATGCCCTGCTCCATGCCCGTTCCATCCCTGCATCCAACCCCAGGAGCCATCCCTGCTCCATCCCTGCTCCATCCCTGCTCCATCCCCGCTCCTGCTCCGCTGGTTCCCATCCCCGCAGTGGGTGCTGCTCCCAGGGAAGGGCAATTCCCGACCTCCCGGGATGCCCATGGAAACACAGACCCCAAAGCCAGGGAGTTATTCGGGAGCTGGACTCGATCCCTGCAGGTCGCTTCCAGCTCTGGATATTCCATGAACCTGGAGAAGGCCAGTCTGGCTCTTGGCCCTCCGGGAGCAGAGTGCCGAGGGAATGAGGGGAGAGGATGAGGAGGGAGCGGATCTGAGGTGATAAATCACTTCCATGGATCTGCCTTTAGGCGCTTGGGAAAGCTTGAACTGTGTCTAGGAATTTGGGGAGTGCGCGCACAGGGTGAGGATTGCCTCGGGATGTCCCCAGAATTCCCGGAGCTGTGCTCCTCATGGGATGGCTCCCTTCTCCCAAAGAAAAGCTTGGAAAACTCCTGCTCTGCCTCTCCCATTCCCTTTTGCTTTCCCCTCCCTGCCCCGGGGTCGGGAGCCGGCTCTGGCTGGGAACGGGTGAATTATTGCGGGATAATGCCGCGTCTTTGGCTGCTTTGGGAGCGCTTCCCGAGCAGTCCCAGGCTCCTGGGCTGGCACTTCCCGAGCTGAAAGGTTTCCCTGTCCGGGCTCCTCCCGAGCCGCAGCCAAGGGCGAATTCCAGCGGCGATACCAGCCCCGGGCTGGGTTTCCATGGTGAAGGCATTTGGGGTTTGCTCCGAAAAGCCGGGATTTTGGGAAGTTTTCAGCCGGGAATGGCACGGTTTGTCCATCCCCAGGCTGCTCCTTGTGGGGGAAGAGCTTTGAAATGTTCCTGAGAGCCCCGGGGCCAGCCCGAGCTCAGTTCTCCCCCTGCTCCCCTCGTCCCCTCTGGGATGCTGGGATTTGTCCTGGGATCTGCTTTTCCTCCCCCAGGAACTGTCCCAGCTCCTCCTCCTGCTCTCACAGCCCGCACTAAACCCGATTTATTTCATTTGCCGAGGTGCTGCTGCAGGCCCTCCCACGTGAAAACCAAAGGGAAATGTTCATCCAGGGATTTTGCGCCCCAGGAGCCGCGAGTTTCACCTCCGAGTAAAAGAAATTTGTGCCACCTCGTCCCCTCCCAGCCTCGTGTGCATCCCTGGGAGGCAAAAACCTGGTTAAAAACTCAATTTCGGCTTTGAATTTAACTTAATTTAAGCTTTTTAATTGAAGCCCGACTGTTGCTCACCTGCCTTTCTAACAAAAAGGAGTTTTTGAGGTGATATTTTTGCCTTTCCTGGGGTGCATCTGCCCAGCCAGGACATCTCCCGTGCCCTGGGAGCCGCGCTGTGCCCTTGGCCTCTGGAATGCTCTTTTCATTGATATTTTCTGGGAACAAAAAATGCCGGCTTTGTATCCACTGCCCCTTTCTTTGCCCACGCAGAAGGAGAGGGAGGGGGTGGAAAAAAAAAAAAACGACTCAAATATTTTCTTGTAACAAAAGGCTGCGGGTGAATCTGGATCAGCCTCTCTGCTCCGTCTCAGGCCAAATCTCCAGGGTTTTTCAGCAGAGAAATTAAAACACTGGAGCTTTCTCTTTTCTCCCGCAGAACAAACAGGAGCGGTTCCCACTTCCTCCCGCTCATAAACAAAACCAGCCCGACGTCTCCAGGAGAAACCCTGCCAGGAGACTTTCCTTCCTAATTGTTGGATATTTTTTCAGCTCTGATTAGTATTCGGGAGTGCCTGGCACGGGGGCTGCGAGTTTCAGGAACAGGCTCCGGAGCAAATCCTTCTCCCTGCTTCCATCCCCGCCTGTCCGGCCCCTTCACCTTCCCCCTCCCTCCCTCTCCCTTTTCCTTTGTTTCCCGTCCTTTTTCCCGGGTTGCTGGTGGATTTTGGCCACCAAATGCGTGGCAGGGGCTTGGAACTGGGTGATCCCTGGGGTTCCTTGCGAGCCAAACCATTCCACGATCCCTTGGAGCTTTTCCCTTGGAAGTTTTGG